CCCCCGAAACCAGTACACTAATAAACAGTTTGCTTCCTTGTTTGCTTTTCACGGGCTGATGAGAAGCTGTCCTTTTCTACCCAGGGGCTGTGGACTGAGAACCAGTGCTCTGGAGCCTACAGAGAAAGAGAGACTTCTTTAGAAAGCAATCTAAACCAGGAGCTTTACTCATTAACTTGGCAGAACTGATGCCACCCAGAGCAATCCCATATTCTATTGTCCAGGGCATGATTTAATGAAGGAAAAAAACCCCAAGCCAACCCAAAATATCTCCACTGGTGTCTTTTATTAAGTAATGCAAAATACAGTATTAATTATGACACTGCATGCATTTTAGACAATATAAATGCAAGCCTACAGAAGATGTGACAAAGAAATCCTCAATTACTTTTGAGGTAGTATACAAGGAAAAATAGGAAAGCAGAAACACAGTGGATTAGAAGAACAAAATATTAGTATCACTTTGTGCATACATTAGTCACTCATAAATACATTTGTATGAAATAACTTAAGATACGATTCCATTCTTTTTAAAAAATATACTTCTTCAAATTTACCATTCTTATTTGTTTTGTTTTCACGTGACATTTTGTGGTATTTTATCAGGTGAATTTATTTTTATCACCGCGGTCATGATTTTACCCTTTTTCCTCCAAGAGTTTAGGCACAGATGGCCTCATGCACAAAAATAAATAAGAAACCTGCTTGAAGGGAAAAGAATTCTGTTCAAATAGCTTAGGATAGTCTAATAAATACCATTTTGTTTATAAAAATATTTCAGGTTTATAAAAGAGGGGAGGGGACTGTCTCCCACGTGGAAAGGATGTTAAGTGAAAAGTGCTAAATAACATATTTGAAGAGATTTTGTTTTAAACATATAGTACCATTATGAATATATATTTTATAATAACCTTGTTTCTTAGAACCTTATTGTTCACTAGAAGTATCAAATGCTCTTTGCCTTCTTTTCTTTGTTGTCTTATTGCCACTTTGGAAGATGCCTAGTTCAGAAGGGTTCCGTATAATTGTGCTTTTGTAAGGCTGTCCTTCCGACTCAAACCAGTGCTCCCAGTCCGCTGAAACTGCTGCTGTTTGCTGTGAATACCCGAATGGCTTCCTTGCTCCATGGAAGACTGGTGGATTTCTGAAGCCTCCACTGAACTCTGATTGAGGGACTCTGCTGAGCTGTTTGGGCTCACGTCCACGTACTCTCTCTTCAATACCGGGCTATTTTCCATGTTTTTGCTACTGCATAACTGGAGGGTGATCCTTTCATTTTTTTGGTCTCTCGATTCTTTTGTTTTGTAAGCGGGCAATTTGTCCTGTTTACAGCTCGTGCTGATGTCAATATTCAGGCCACTGTCTGTTCTCAGAAAGCAAGAATCCACCAGTCTGCTTTGGCAGATATCATCTCCCTCTGAGCAGCTATCTGCTTTATAACTAGCATAGATGGGGCTTGTTCTACTGTCTCCTTTCTTAATAGGGCTGCTGTAGTACTGCTCTGAAAAACTACAGGGCGACAGCCTGTCAGTGTTCCTGTACGAGTACGCACCAATGTCCTCCACGCTCAACTGCCTCCATCGCCCAGGTAAGTCTTCTTCTGAAAGGTGGCTGCTCCTGCACTCATTCCTCATTTTCTGATTTGCTAACGCCTGCTGTGGTGTTATGGCTGAGAAATGAAAAGGTTCATTTGCATATGGAGGCAGAGTCCTAGTAAAAGTAGGTGAATTCTCATTGTCATCAGCAAGCTCCATGTGCTGCACAGGTTTGGACTTGGCAAACCTAGGACTTCCCTGATGCTCATAACCTGCAGGTGACTTTCTTTCAAACAGTTCATCTCTGTTGCTCATGTAGATCGCTTGCTGAGAGGCTGTCAGGGTGTTGGCTTGGGTGTTTTCCTTCTCCTCGGACGTGACGCTGAAGCTGGAATAGGAGCTGGAGGTCGGCAGAGAGGTAATGTACTCTGGGAAGGCTTCGTGAGAGAAGCTGGAATGGAAACCGTCTTCTTCGACGGTGCTGTCTGTGGAGTTCTGGGATCGCAGGAACCCCACGTCTTTCACTTGTGTGTCCACACTCTGCCTCCTTTCCCTTCTTCTCTCCTCGGGACAGTAAAGGGCAGTGTCACTGCAGTAGATGTCCGACTTGTACTGGGGCCTCTGTCCGAGTTTTCCGGCAGAGTCCTGAAAATTGAGATCCCTTGTAGAAGGGCTTGACAAGTGTGAAGACAAGCTGTTTGGATCTGGTTTTTCCAGTACTTTGGCAATGACGCAAGTGGGTATGGTATCAGCGTAAGATGTGTGGGACAAGGGGACAGAAAGGCTACACCCGTGTTTTTCCAGATGGATGCTGACTCTTTCCTGAAAGTCAGATGGTAACTGCAATGTAAAGAGATGGCAAAAGGGAAAAGGAGAAAAGGGTGCATGTCAGTACTGGTGTCTGCTCAATACAACGTTGCCAGATGAGTGCTGTTTATATAGCTCACTATATATGACTCTTTGACTAGTGTGATGGCCACAATCTTTGTGCATTTCTGAAAACAAGTGACTTTCATTTATTAACATTTGGAAACCTTCATCTTCTTCCCCTCATAGAAAACACTGGGAAACAGAGAGATTTCCTTCCAAGTTAGTTTAAGTTGGATAGGAATAATGTAAAGAAAGCAGTAAACAATGATCTTAAAAAGGCAGGTAGGAAATTACAATCCACAGCAACACGTGACATACTGTGCACGTGTCTGTGATTTTCAGTTGGAGTGTGGGGCTGCAAAGGTCTCTGCAGGGGTGAGGAAAGAGGAGGAAGAGGTCAGATCAACTCTGTTCTTCTTTTGCCCCTCTTCAACATTGCCTTGGTCTTTCCTCCAACCCAGTGCCAAATTGGATCATAGAATGGTTTGGGTTGCAAGGAACCTTAAAAGGTCATCTAGTCCAGGATCTAGGGACGCTGCCCTTCAGTGTCACATTTGATAAACAGTGCTGTTTGAAAAGGCAGGAAAGTTGGTTTCACTGACACTTAAAGCACTAGTACTGGCTGCTATGACAGGAGTGTTCCTGTACTGGGGAGAAGCAAATCAAACCAGGTTCCTTACCCCAGCAGTTGGACACTGCTTCTCAGATCAACCATCCACATAAGCCTCAACATTTTCTCCTCTTCCAGTAGCTGCTAGCTGACTGCTTTTCTAATTTCTTACTACACTGACAGAAATAAGAGCTAAAAAATGACCTGACATTTATGATTCCTGTGACATACAAGTCCGAATTAATCATTAAGTCTGTTATGCATCACAAATCGTATAGTTTTTGGAGAAAGACAGGATCAGCTTTATGGATAGTGGTTCTGCCTGCCATTCTGTAATGTGGTCCAGAAGAAACTGATAGCCCACATTCCTTGGTGCAGCTCAGAAGTCTGGTAGGTAGTGCCTAGGCAGACACCACCAAACATGGTCACCAGTACAATTTTATCTGCCTTGCTCATTTTAGATCTCTATCAATGATCAGACAGGACTACGAAAGAGAGCTTCATAATGACTGTCTTCCTATTTCTTGCTGGAAATCAGAAGAACTCATGTTTGGACTAAGTTTTGGGTTCGTGCTTGTGATAGATCCTTTGATATCCATGTTGATTTATGCCACAGGGACTTAGCCCTTGAATGTTTGGCTGACCTCTGATTTATTCAGCATTCTCTTTCTATAACTAGAAACAAAGTTCCTCTTTACCAAATAATCGGTAGTTATCCATATAGGCCTAACAATTTCACTCCCTCCTTAACTTTGTTTCTCTAGAGGAGACAACCCTACAAATACTGAACTGTCTCCCCACCGTCAGTATTAGGTGACAGAAATTTAAGGTGCCTGCTCCTTCTAACGACCTCACCATGTATAAGATATGGAGCTTCTCTTTCAGCTTCACTGGGCAGTTTTTGAAGTTAATTTAATCCCCAAGACTCAATGTATTCAAAATATGGCATGTTGTGAAATGGCATTCTTGTTAATGTGGAGTAGGATGAGTGTTGTTTCAACCAATAGACCTTCCAGGATATTTTGGATTGATCAGTATGTTGTTAATTAGCTCATATGTCTTCCACTGGAAATAAAGAGTATGATATTGCCAGTCTGCTGGCAGACAGCAATATTAGTCATAGTAAGTACAGATGTAACAAAGATTGAAGAAACAGGTTGTGAAATAGGGCTGCTGTAAATTGCCACAAAAATGAGGAAAAGAAATACAGTTCATTTAACGTGAAACTGCTTTATGGTGCAGCTGTCATTTTAGTATCCTTTAACACAACTGTTTGATCTATTTTATATACGTTATTTAGATTATGAAATGCGTTAAGAAAAAGGCCATTATTTTCTGGGCATTGCACTTGAAACTGGAATTACTAAAATGATATTGCTGCCACATTACTACTTGCTGTAGTTTAGACTTCTGGATAATATACAATACTTTTTCAGGCAATATTTGCATTTGTAAGAAATTTATTGGCTGTGACAGCACATTCACACCTGCTAAATTAATAAATACTTGTACTTATGAGTGGAGACTGTGTGTGCTTAACTGAGTGTATGACAGGCTGGGAAATTGTGGGGAGATCCCACATTTGTGATAGTTTTCTGCAAGTGAACCAGTAAGTACTTTTAGGCTCCTAATTCTTGCTAATGGGTAAGGTGTGAGTAATGTCACGATTAGTTCGTGGGTTTCAGTTGCTAAGGGAAGTCACTTACTGGGAAAAAAATAACAGAACCAAGATAATGGTTAATTTGGAAGTTCTGTCTTCAGAAATTCATCACCCATTTGATGGAAGGGTTTTGGTCTATTCTTATTTGTTAGGGTTGTTTAGTGCTCTGAAGCCGTCTGCTGGCTTAGAAATGGTTTATACATTCCACATGCAAGTTTGCATTATTCTGTTGCAGAATTGCACAAAAGAGACCATTTGCTGGGACACTACATCTGGGACTGATGTAGGGAAGGCTTTTTTTCCATGACCTTCACTGAGGCAATATATATGACAAAGGTGCAATTGCTTTGTGTAGGGCCTGCATCCCTAAAGACAGTCTTGTTCAGTAAGATAACATTTGCCTCCCCTTTAAGGAGTCTGTTTCTCAAAACTAGTTTCCTTGGAAGCGAGCATTATTAATTAAAGTTTACACCTTGGTAATCAATCATTCAGTGCTCTGGTTGCTTTAGAAAAAGATATTTGTTCTGTCAGTCCATTTTAAAATTCAGGTTTAGAAATTAGCTGGACTGGAAAATAGCTTCAGGAAGAAAATTGATTGTATCAGAATCTCTGACGCCTGGAGCGTCATTTCCCTGCCCTCAGCCCACCATTCCCTCACTGCATTTTGCAGTCTAGGGTTCTCAGCATTTTGGTTTTACTAAACCCTTTGTTTGTCCTGGGATCAGTGCAAGTCCATGCTACCAAATAGTAGAGGTTTTGGGGAAGAGAGTACCTCTAAGTTCCACCACTGGCTGTGATTTTGTCGGTACCTCCCTCAGCTGCACAGAATACCGGTAGGTGCGCAAGCCTTCCTGTGCACAGGTTCTGGAACTGATACATGTGAAATAACCCGTTTTCCATAAAATATTTATTTCTTTGAATATTCACCAAGTTTGGTCACATTACCTCCGAAAGCTTATGTGCCCTGTCGTAATTCTTGCTGCACTGGAGCAACTGAGCAGCTAAATTGCAGTCCTTCCTATAGAGCTCCTAGAAAAACAAAAAATAGCTTGTTTTTTAAAGTCTGCAAATAGCTTATGGCTTTCAGCCTTTCTCCCATGCCTGAGCAAACTTTGCCTCTTTGCTCTGTGAGAGCTTATAAACTTACTGAAAAGAAAATTTTGATAATTGTTGCTATAGAACAGTAATCTGCATTTCAAAAGATGGATACTTACCATTAGCAACTGGACTTTATACTGTTAGCATGATGCTTGGTGCAATGAAGGCTAAAAGAAACATGAACTTTTAAGCAAAAAGAAAATTTAAGAATAGACAGTTTTTACCAAGATCAGCACTAAGGTACTACTTTAGAAAATGCTTAAATAATCTTATGAAACTGTGGTGGAAATGAATTACTGAAATATACATTGTATTGTATTTTTAAAAAGAAAGCCTTTGTTTCCTTATGAAACTTTCTTGCTGGGTCCTGGTTTCTTTCGTATCTTGCAGAATGCAACTATATAGATATATTAAATCCCACTGCAAATATTGGATGCTACAGAACAGGATATTTTTCCTGGGTAAGAAATTACTATGAGATTTCCACACAGGGAAAAAGGGAGTTTAAACAAGCTGCCTGTACTATTTTTGTACTGGATGGCTCCTGCAGTGTATTTAATGGGAAAATTCAGTACATAGATTTGCCCTTTGTCTAAATTTAATTTAGCACACATGACTGTGTAACTGTATCCTTCAGCTAGTAGCTTTGGGACCCTGGAGGCAAGAGTTGTATGCTGCTTAGCCTGATCCTAGGTGCCATTAAAAAGAAAGTTGGTTTCAAAGTTGACTTTATAGGTGGGCATAGATGAGATAGACAAAGCGTAAAGGTACTATGGACACTAGGATGTGTTAATCTGTAAAAATTAGGAAATGTTTATGGAGAAGAGATGTCAAATACTGAAATTATTTGAATTTTCTCTGCTGTTAATATATATTTTTATTGTATGCAGATTTTTACTGTTCCACTTGTTCTTTTTCTATGAAAAGGAAAGGTGGAAATTCCCTCTGTTTTGAAATACCATTTTAAAGGTAGTCTATAATTACAGGGAGCTTTTATGCATGCCATTTCTGCCTTAAATGTACTGGGAAGATACATTCATTCATGTAGGTCTTAAATTTTACGTTAGTCCACCCTGTATTTATTCCTGAAAACAGATGCAAACAGTAGGAATCCAAGAATTCAATTTAGAGGCAAAATCTGTTGCATGTGCATGTGATTCTGACATGTTACATGCACATTAAACACACAGTATATTGCTGCACAAAGTATAGCACAGACAAGTACTCCAAGTCGTGTATGGCAGTACTAGGCACCCAAAAATGAAATCACTCCAAAATCTAATCCTTTCTTCAAAACTGTGTGCCTCTGTTCCTGTGAAGCGGTTGTCATGGAGAGTACAAAAAGCATCTCTGACATTTTATTTTTAGTAGCTTTAAAAATTACTACAGAAAATTTACATGTCAGTTAGATGTGCCACGTGTACTTTGTTCTCAACATGCTGGACATGCCATGCAAATGAAGTGATTTTCTGTCTTTTAATGCTTGTCTGAATGGAACCTAAAACAATAATCAGCAATTAATGCCAAAAGTGTTTCCCATAGTCAAAAACATGTTTTTGCATGGAAACCATCATTTTACTTATCTGTCAGAAGAGTAAGGGGAAATATAATTGAAGGAAGAAATATTGGCAAGACAAAAACATGTTCTCCCCATGTAGGATTTTTCAGTTTAACACTGTCTTGACTTATTAGGTAATATATTAATGTTGTGTTTCATATTTCTTTATTTTAAAATTTTGCATTTAACCTTCACTTTCATTAGTGATGCTATGTAACTATGTAAAATTTTGCCTGTGAATCAACCTCAAGGATGAAGAAGTGGGACTGTTATTTGAGGCTTCTGGACCATACTCTGTTCAGAGTAGCTCACAAGAACTCTTGGAATAAAAGTACTCTGAACACCAGTCTAAGCTGCCTTTTAAAATCTATGAAAATTGAAAACAAGTCTTCAAATGTGGTCTCAAACCTGACTCCATTAAGTAGTGGGAATGCATATATACTTATTGGGAGTTTTATAATTTTTTCCCTTCTATTTTAAAGCTGAAATAACTCTGCTGATTTCAGCTGAATTAGTCTGGATGTATACCTGTTTTTCTAAAACCTAAATGTAGCCCATTGGATTTACCACACTCCGTTACAGGCATTAGAATTATGAAGTAACTGTTGTTTCAGCACAATTTCTATAAAAGTAAAGAGTCAGATTGTGAACTCTTTGTTTCCTTTGGAAAGTTATTAATCACATAGGCACAATTCACATCAGTGGGCATATTAATGGGATCAAATGCTCCATGCTATGATTAAGAGTTCATATGAAATATGGGAAGCTTGAATGTAAGATGCTGAAAAATAAGTGCTAAAAGAAACATGTCTTCTGTAAATGAATTTTTTATTAAGTGTCTAAGGAATGGCATAATAATGAGCTAAATGCCTGCAATCTTCCTTTCTTTTCTGTCTTTTTAGGTTTGACTCTGGCAGGATTTAATGAGCTTGGTTGCCAGCTGCAGTACACATGACAGTGTTCGCAGTGTTTAATGAGATGCAGGGTGACAACTGCCAGGTATGTTCCTTGTTTTGTTCCATACAGAGATTAATTGTTACACATGAACCACAGCTGGGCAAAACCTGTCTCCTGCTCCCTGAAGTAATCTGAGCAACCAGGTTGGTTCAATCCTACCTACTGCTAGTAGAGCTCACTTGTGCTGGCCACCCCATTTTAGTGAGGGAACACTGAAAGATCAGAGGAACTGCAGGAAGTGTAGGGCTCTACAATGTGCCTAAAATCCTTATGATGGATCCTCACTCCATGCGTGAGTCCATGCCATAGCTCTGAGCATGTGCTACTACCAGTTTGCTGTACTAGACCAAAACTGATGGCAAAATCAGTGTGGGAGTATTATCATTTCTTAGAATATTTTCCCATCAGTTTTAGGTCAGACATAAGGGGGGAAAAAAAAAAAAGAATACTCTCACCACACTCCCATAGCATAAGGAGAGCTGAATTTACACAATGATTGGAACAATCAAACATTCATTTTAACAGTTGAGGTGACAAGTTACATTTTACATAAACAATAATAAATTATTTTATAATGTCATGGGAAGTGAATGGCCTAATTTATTTCTGAATATAATCTCAAGATATATCCATAATGAAATACTTACATTATCTTCAGACAATTTATCTATTGTCACCTTGGCCTCTATTAAGTGATTATTGAGTGCAATTATTTCATGGCTCAAAGCCCGTTTTTCCTCTTCGTAATGTTGACCCTGTGTAGAAAATGGAGTAGTCAGTATTTTTTTTCTACTGCTAGAATATTTCAATAAAAGGCCCAAAGGTTGATGTCGTTCTCAAACTCAGGGAAAAGCACAACCGACCAATACTTTATTTTTTTTCCTATTTTCACTCAGTAGATGAGACAAAGTACTTTGAAAATAAGGAGGTCAAATTGAGCACACATTAGGAACCTTCACAAAAGGCTCTAGCTAGCCTGTGTAAAAGCATTCAACTGAGCATCAGCTATTCCCTTTTTGTCATAAGGCAGGGTTTCTAACCTGGAAGGAATTTGGGCTGCTCTTGGCTTTTACTGCAAAAATGTTTCACTTATGTCATTAGCTCCCATTCTCATCGTGAAGATAGAACAATATATTTAAAAAGGAAAGTAGTTGTGTTTGAGCCAATTTCTTGTTAGCTGTTGACTGTGCTGGCTTCTTTAAGAGCCCTGAATGGGGCTGTTCATTTCTCAAGATGAATGCTGCCTGATTGCAGGGTTAACACTCATTAGTAGAATGTGACCCACTGTGGGATAACAGGAAAACAGTCTGAATCAGGCTTCTTGCTGCCCACTAATTTAATCTTGTTACCAGTAGGTTGTAACTCTTTATTATGAATGCAAAGAAATCAACGGGAAAAGTAAAGTGGCACTGGCCCTCCCCATACTGTGCCCCATTTTCATATTCCAGTGTTCATTGCACTGCCTTATATATGAAGATATTTTCTGTAACAATTATTTGTAACTCTGCCTCCTGCCTTATGTTTGTATTAAAAAGTATGGTAGCTTCTGACTGCTCTAGTTGAGATCAAGGTATCTTCGTTGCACTCAGAGCTGTACAAGACCATGATAACAAGAAGGTTTGCCAATTACCTGGGGGATCTTTTAGAAAGCAGTTTTTCACTAAGAACAAAAAGCATGGTGAACCTTAATGTACAGCTGTTTTATTTAGTGAACTGAATTCAGTGACAAAGTCACAATCTCACTTTCCATTCTAAAGTCATTAATTTGTGAAGGAGTGTCTCCAGCAGGATGAAATTTCCCAAATGCCATATTGTCAGGGTCACACAAAAATCTTCCATTAACATGCACTTGACATTGCCAGTTAATTGACAGCAATGGGAGCTATGTGTTTTGAAGTCTGAATGAATACCAAGGTTAATTATACAGCTGCAAAGCACCAGGCTGTATTAAAGAAGGGTGATTAAATTGGAAGTGGCAACTCTCATCCTAAGTTGCTATTTAAAGAAAAACACCTTCTGAAATGGTCAAAGCAAAGCTACAGCTTGCTTTGGACAGTGCAGATGTAACTGAAGTGTCTTTGTGAAGGTCTAGACTGGCCTGTTTTAATGTCAGCTTTTCTAGAGACCATCTATACCATCTGTAGAAAATGATCTTGCACGGCTGTTGCAAAATCTCCATCCTGACAGCCCAGCTGTACCTGGAGGCTGGTTTGGGAATGAAACCTATCCAATCCTCATTCCCATTGACTAGGTGTTCCTGCTAGCTGCCTGGAGACTATATCATGGAAAATCAAAGCATGGCTTTGAGAGCTTGAAAGAGCTCCAACCTCACTAATCTTAACAAGACACATGATCTTAGGGGATGTGTTTTTTAATTATGCAGATCAACATGGTTTTATACAAGGCCCTTGACTCTCATTGTTTTTATTGTGAACTAAACAACTACGCAGTTTGTAAACCTCCTGGACATCTGTACACCTCTAGAAATTGTTCTCCTTTGAGAGTATGACTGAAGACTACAGTTGCAAAGGCATTTAGCTGCATAATAAGGTAGACAAGTGACTACCCAAGTACCTGGGGGAAAACATGTCCCCTCAATTTTCCAGGTTATTTAATGTTTTTCAAGGATTCTGGTCCACTGAGTAAAGACTTAATCTTCCAAATCACCATTTGTATTGAAGATCTTATCAGTCCTTGTATGACAAGTTGTCAATGCCAGGGCAGCTTATTTGTAGGACCCACTTTTGCTCTAAGTCTCTCTGATTTCAGCAAGTGTCACTTCTTCTTATCCAAACTGAATTTGACTCAGTAGATTTTACAGTTCAGAAAAGATCATCTGATAAAGGATTTATAGTTGTCAGCAGAGAGAAATTCATAAAAGGGCAGCAGATTCAGGCTTTGGAAGCAGAGTACTTTCCATTGCACTCAGTAATGCTGAATCTGACAATCATTATTTTATCGCTTATGTAAATTTTGGGGCTGATGTTGTCCAGACTTTGTATCTCACCAAATGCGACTTTAAGAAATATTTTATATTTGTTGAACTGTAAAATTCACCTTAGTCCAAATATATACTGTACAAGTCAGTAGATAGACACCGAAGTAATAAACATCTCAGTAGTGTTGTGAAGGAATAAGGCCGGTCCCAGTCTTCTCACATGTTGTCACAATCCGGTACCGAAG